ATACAAAATCCTAAAATATATTCTGCACACAGAGCAAGAACTGAGCAGGAGCACACTGGGCAGAGAAGAAAGCTGCTCTTAGGAAGCTTTCATACAGGTGTGTAAAGCCTTTCCTCTTTTTCTGGTTTGGGGGAGTTTAACCAGAGGCCTTTCTTCTTCACAGAATTGCCTTAAATTTAATCATTCTACTCTATGAAATATGAAAGCGCATAGTTAAAATGCAAACATCATCTGTATCAATTATTCACTTAACTCTGTCAGCAGCCTTTCCCTTCTTTCAGGCTGAAATCCATTAAGGTAGCACCAAGGTCCCTTGGTTCCTCCCTGCTAACCCCACACTGTCCCAAGCCCAGCACAAGTAGGAATCTCATGGGGAGGCCTGGAAGGGCCGGGGATCCCTGCTTCTCCTCCTCTCCTGTTCAGATCAGCTACCTGCAGAGAGGAAAAGAGACCAGGACCGACAGAGATTCCATGAGCACATCAGTCAATCCACAGAGACAAAAGCCACAAAACAAAATCAGATGGATCCTCAAACTATTTATATATATATTATTTGTTTGTTTGTTTGTTCATTTGTTTCATTATTCTAGGAATGACACTCAGGGAGATCTTACCACTGAGTTATTTCCTCAATTCTTTATGTCTTTATTTTTAACATTTCTTATTTTCTTATTTAATTTTTGGTACCGGGGATTGAACCCAAGGGCCTTGGTACTAAGCATCCTCAGCCTCTTTTTCTAAAATAAAAATTTACACAGGATCTTGCTAGTTTCAGAGTTTCCCTACCTGGGTTTGAACTTGGAATCCTGCTGCCTCAGCTTCCCAGCTGGGGATGCTGGGATGACAGAAATGCACCAAACACTCTACTTCTATTCTCTATTTTAGCACAAAGTTCTCACTTAAGGTATCCCAGCTGACCTCGAACTTACTGTCCTCCTGCCTCAGCCTCTTGAGGAGCTGGGGTGCACCACCATACAGAGTGGCTCTCACTCTATTTTGAGTTTGGTTTCCCTGGGTTCTGTGGCTAGCTCTCAGCTGGTTTGAGCATTTCCAACAAAAAGGCGAGATACAGACTTCTCTATACTACAAAGCCATCAATGTACCAATCAGAGCATTGATTTCATATATTCACTCATAGAATGCTTATAAAAATTCTACAGGTTACAAAGGGGAAAGTGGTGCCTCATGGAGTTAAAGAAAAAATAAACACTTTTCAAAATTACATAGCTAGCTAACAGCTGAGCTATGGGTCAATTCCAGTTCTCTTTGATTTAAATATGCACGTGATTTATGCCATAATCTACTGTCTTTAATATTCATACTTTTGTCTCCCTTATACCTCTTCAGTTGTATTTCTTGGTGACCCATTTAAATACTCATCCCAGTGGTGCCAAGAGATCTCTGGAGTTCCATTCTGATACTGTTGCTCAGTCTTTATGATTTCCAATGTACCACTGAGAAGTATGTTAGTTGGCTTTTCCATTGCTGGGACACAATACTGACACCCGCAGTGTAAAGGAGAATAGATTCAATTTGTCTCATGGTTTCAGCGGATTCAGGCCAAGGCAGAAGGGTATAGTGGAGCAAAGATGCTCAGCTCATGGTGGCCAGGAAGCAGAGAAGGGGACAGAACCAGAGAGTAAGGGACCAGGGATCACAGCTAGTACCCACGGTCACCCCTCCGTGACACACAGACTCACACAGAAGCATGACTGCCTAATCTCACTGACAAATTGCAAACCATCGAATTGGCCCTCCACCTTAACCACAGTAGACAGGCTCTAAAAAGAGAACCTGTAAACTCTGTAAACTCTCATCTGGTTCTTGGTGCTAATGGGTAACCTTAGATTCAATCTGTGGGTAACCTGAGATCTCTTTTGTGGGTAATAAGAGTTGATCTCTTTACCTTTCTTCACAACCAAAGACGTGTACTTATACGACAGTGATTCATTCTGATGTAATAAGAAGCAGATTCTGGTGGAAAAGAAACTCTTTCAAGCATTAGAATGATCTTTTTAGTCCACTACTGTGACCATTTGTGTCACTTTTCCATTCCTCTATCACCTCCTTTTTGACTATTTCAGACGATTTAATAGAAGACTCTCTAAACACAACTTAAAAGTATAGCAAGTGATTTTCACAATTGCTTCTAATACTTCCTTTGAATTGAACCAGAAACTGAGCATTAATTTCCAGGTCCACAGAAAACTCCAGACTGCTCAGGGCAGACAAGATGCTTGATGGCAGTAGACATTTAATGTGTTTCTGCATCTTGGCTATTGGGAAGCACGCTACAATGAGCATGGGGAAAGGGAAAAATATTTGCTGTTCTTCATGTGAGCAAAGGGAAGAGGCAGAATTTAGGTTCTAGATGTCTATGCTTCTGGTTAAACAGGCAAGTTGTGACAATGGGCTTGAGTGAAATGGATCCCATGTCCCCTCCCTCTAATGGACTGTGTGGCCCAAAGGTGCTGATTATGCTCTGTAATAGAAGGAAAATCTGCGGATTATGAGAATGTAGAGGAGGAAAATAATCCAGAGCCCTCTGCTTGAGGAGACTTTATCTGCCATGTGGAACCACTTTAGGTTACTCAATCAGTGCAACACCAAAATATTTTTAAATTCTGAGTCATGCGTTGTCACATACTAAACCCAGATTCCACAAAACACTGACTACCCAGCCTCCCGGAATCCAGGCTGAGGACGGTCCAGGGGTCTGAATCTGCAGAGCAGAAAAAGCAGCACCTCATCAGGGCTTCCAGAAGTCCCCAGGGACAGAGAGGCTGTCAGCTTTCATTTCTTGAATTCTCTGTCAGCTCCCCGAATGCTTTTCACAGTCACCTGGATAATCATTTAATTCACATGCATTTTTAACCCTGCATTTAAAGCAAATCATGCAGGCTATTGGAAAACCTCAAAAAGAGACAGAATTGAAGCAGAGGCCAGGGAGGTGGCACTTCTGGGAGACGCTGAGCAGACTGACTGGGAAGAGTCCTGGCCTGTCTCTGGGCCAAGGAGGTCATCACTTATGCTACAGGGAGTGGCCTGGGCTTTAGCTGGTATTTTTATCTGGGAAAGCATGTCATCCCTCACATACTGGGTTTTTAAAGGATGGATCTCTTTGCACCAGCCGTTTGCTCATCCCTGAAACACGCTTCACACCCATGGCGCCCAGCCAATTTCCGGGACCCTTGACATTCGGCTCAGGAAGATTCTGTTCTCAGCCTTGCTCGGCCTCCCTGCCCACACTACCCGCGTGTCTCTATCAGTGCAGCTGAAAATGGCCCGGTCTTACAGATTGCTGTGTCCCTCAAAGCCAGCACAGTAGCTGGGAAGGAGAACTCGCCCAAAGATCAGGAATTAATTAAAGCAGTGAATGCACAGATAGTCAAAACTGAAGTGATTACCTGCCTGTGACTTTCTGAAGTGTGATATGAATCCATAACAGTCTCTCTCAAACCACTCAAATCTCCCAGGATGGCAACCAGAATAGGCTTGTGTCTAGATTTGTCAAATCCTCGTGAAATTCAGGGTCAAAATCCTGGGCTGAGTTTAAAATAGTGGATCAAACTGTCACTGACAATCTGTCAGACAGAATGAAGATCTGTGCAAGTTTTTATTTTTTTCCAGTTTCTAACACTGTGTACTTGGAGTTCAGAATTATTTTGAAAGATAGTACACCTTAAGAGTGTGAGTAATTTTTTGCTTTAAGGGCTTTGTTCTTAACTGTTAAGAATGAAGCTGCCCAAGGGCTGAAGTGGCACATACCTTGTAATTCTAGCACCCTGGGAGGCTGAGGCAGGAGGACCATAAGTTTGAGCCCAGTCCGGGTAATTTAGTGACTTAGTGAGACTCTGTCTCAAAATTTAAAAACAAATGTGCTGGGAATGTAGTTCACTGAAAAACCTTTGCATTCAATTCCTAGTATTAAAAAAAATGAAGACCAGCACAAATACCCAAGAAACTGTAGTTTAAGAAATAATAAACTCTATTCTTTAGCAATACAGAAATGAAATTTGAATATATTGCTGGCTTTTAATTATAAGCACAGATTATTAAGAGCTTATATTTTCTTTGATGAATATTATTACCATTAAGAAAAATATGTAATTATTTAAAATTATCAGTAAGACCTGAAAAGCCCATTTAAAGTTCTTTTAATCTTTGTGATAGCCACTGTGTTTATATTTTTATTTTTTAAAAATATTTTATTTAAATAAAAACAAAAGGATAAAAGTGATACATAATTTCAAAAACAATAGGAAATTAACACTAGTTACTATATTGCATATTATTTAGAAAGTGGTTGTTCAGATTACAAGATTTAGGCATGAAAAAACGATCAGTCAGGCAATGAAAACACAGACTGTCCTTTTTGATGAACTAACAGATCTGTAGTATAGCCATCTACCTTGTATAGATTTACATATACGCACACATGTATGCATGCATATGTATACCTATAATCTTTTCCCTTCCTTCTTTTGTCCTTTCCCCGTCCCAGTTGTTCTTTCCTTCTGAGCACTTTCTCTCCCACTCATTTTCACAATACTTATTGCACATTTTGGATCTTATTTATATTTTTTAAAAATTTACACTATGGAGACAATATATTTACACATGCGAGTCTGATTTATTTCAGTTATGAGTATGGTCTCTAGTTGCATCCATTTACCTACAAAACCCTCAACTTTATCCTTCTTTATAGCTGAGTAATATTCCAGTGCATTAAAATACCACTTCTTTTTATCCATTCTGCAATTGATGGGTATTTGGGTTGCTTCCAAGATTTAGCTGTTACAAATTGTGCATGTGTATTGCTGAGGTATGATGTCTTCAATTGTTCTGAGAAAATACCCAGAAAAGGAATAGCTGGATTGAATGGAACCTCCAATCCCAACTTTGAGGAATCTCCACACTGATTTCTACATTTTTATGCTTTTCTTTCATTGCTTTTCTGATATGTGGGATGACTGTCAGGTATACACACGTGTGTATGTGTGTGTTAATCACATATCTACCTTTTGACCTGAACACTGCACTTGTATACATATAACTGTCTGGCGGACATCTGTATGTGCTTATGCTACAGCTGTTCACATTCAACAGAAATAAAACTCTGTTCTTTGAATCCTCCCTGAACCTTCTTAATCAAACTCTCACCTCCATTTTCTGCTCAGCCACTGCCTAGTCCCTGTCCCATACATTTGGAGACATCATGAATTTCCCCATCTTTTCAAAAGTGCAATGTCATTGTATCCTCATGAATGGCTTCTTTACTTACAGCCACCTAGACTCAGAGACACCTTGGACACAATTTCCAGCATGACTGCAAACATCACTGGCCATTTGTTCCCCGACAGAAGCAGTAAGCAACAGAAGGTGGGGATCCCTGTGGCCTGCAATGGAGAGAGGGTGGGAAATGAGGGAGGAGTGGAAGAGAAATACGGAATGCAAGTGTGGTCAGGACCTGAAGTCCTCTGGGGTAGCCAGTGTGAAGTGGGCCCAGTTACCCAAGAAAGCAGAGGTGGGGGGCTCCTCTGTGTGGTGCCTAGAGGCCCTGGAAGGTCAGGACCAGAGACTTGAGGGGAAGCACTGCGCAAAGTCTCCAGGCCACCTGGCACGTCCCAGCCCGGCACACGTGCTGTCCAGCTGTGGCTCCTCTGCTGCCTAGCACACAATCCTAGCATCACCTGTCATGTCCAGAGCATCTTCCGCCTCAAATGTAACCAACACCTGTAAACACCGGTCACTCACTTTGCATCTTGATGGAATGTATTGGTACCAAAGAGACTCAAAACTGCAAGAGATTTCTCATAGGAGTTTAGCATGGAGGACTGTTTTATTTTTAATTAAATCCCTGAACCATGATTGCTGCAACCTGCCTTCTCATTCTCCAAGCAAAAATGCCTGTAACTTCCACTTAGACTTCCAGAGTCATTTACACTTTACTGAGAAGTTTCATGTGCCTTGATTCCATACAGTCCTCTGACAAAAAAAGCTTTCAGGCAATCATTTCCACCTTGTAGAAGTTCAAATGGAAATAGATGATCCCAGAAAACCAACGTTTGGACCATTGCTAGCTGTTCTGCTAAAAAATCTCTGACTTTGCACAACTCTTCATTGGAGCCAACTTGCTACCTCTAGTTTTTTACATATGAGGTTTTGCTTATTATCATTTGTCTGTTTTTTCTAGACCATCTACTGTTCTCAACCATAATTCTTTAGGGCAGAATTGTTGGCTTTGTAAAAGCCTGGATTGAAATAATAATCTCCTTAGATATCTGCAATGCATACTGGGTGGTTTAGCAGACACCACTGACCTTCAGTGTTCTCACCTGTGATAGGGAGATGTGCAGCCTGAAGCTAAGAATGCCTGGCCAATGTCACAGCCCTCTCCTCCCAGCAGGCCCCTCACATCTGGGCTTACTGACTTTCATTCGGCTGTGGACTATGGGGCCCATCACTTTTAAAAGGGCCCTTGTGGTGCTGCCTATAAGCGATTCAGGGCACTGATGGGGAGAGCCAGGATGGAAGCTAAGATCCTGCCTATGAGCCGGATTGGCCTGCAGACTGGGGAGAGGAGAACATCCTCTGTGGTGAGCAACCAGCTAAATTTGGAAGAACTGTGTTGTTTGATTGACTTTGCAAGCCTAAACTCAAGCAACTATTTAGAGGACAGCATTGTGCAATATAATAACTATTGTAGGTTTCCTAATGTCTTATCACTGTTCTGATTTGTTTTATTGCTCTGTTTTATTTCCTTTAAAATTACAGAGAGAAAAAACTGAAGGAGTTAGTGGGATCCAAAATGTACAGAAGATACTGTGAGGGTGAAAGGGGAAGAAATGTCTAAAAAAGGAAGGCCGTAGCCATTGTTAGTTTCCTATTATCCTGTTTTGAATTTTTTTCTTGGTATTAGGGATCAAACTCATGCCAGGCAGGTGCTTATACCACTGACATAAATCCCTGGCCCTATTACCTTGTTTTGAAATCCTGTTTTCATTGTTTTGTTTGGTTTGCTTTTATTCTGTTTAGTTTTGTTAGATTCTATGATGTCTGATGGTGTGGCCAGCTCTTTTCAAGATAACAAGAAATATTATGGTAGCCATTGTTGATTTCCTATTATCTTATTTTGAAGTCCTGTATCACTTTCATTTCTTTGTTTGTATTGTTTTTATTCAGTCCTGTTTTGTTTGATTTTACTATGTCTTATAATATGGACAGTTATTTGGAAGATAACTTGAGGCCCTGTGGTAGAAATTGTTGATTTTCTAGTCTCTTGTTTTGAAGTCCTGTATTGTTCTCATTGCTTTGTTTTGATTGGTTTTACTATGTTTCATTATTTTTTATTTTATTCTCTTTAAAATAGAATTTTAAAAAATAAAGTTAAAAAAAAAAAAGGACCTATGTAATACTGCTAGTGGTTCTGTTCTATTTGGGCTGTAAATGACCAGACTGACGCTTTGCAAAGGGGCAAGTTCATTCATCAGATATAATTAGAGGCCAAATTTCATGATATTATAAATACCTCCTAGTTTATTTCTATAAAGCTTTTCATGAGCAACAGATATTGTACAGATAAGATAAATAAGACAGAACCACTACTCTTACGAGTAAAGGGATTAGGAGATAAGCAGGTAGAAAAAACCACAGCAGTGTGATAAATACTCTATGTGCAGATGAACAGCAGGAAGTAGGCATAAGCAACTCCGCTTGGCTGGAGGCAAGGTCCAGGGAAAACCACTAAGACACAACCCTGGACCGGAACCAGAGGGAAGAGTGATTTCAGCCTCTGCATGAAAGAAGAGAAATACCAGAGGCAGAGAAAATGATACCGAGGGCATCAGCAATATTTTAGCACTAGTGTGGGTTTGGTTTCTGCCCCCTTATTACCTACTCCATCTGAGGTAAGCTGACAGAGCTACCATTTCGCTTTTTCTATTTGCAAATTGACTTTAATAATATCTTGCCAAAGGTTTTGCTATTGATGAAATCAGAGCTTGGGATTTCACCATCTAAAGCTCAGGACATGGAAGCTACCCTGTACATGACAGAAGCCTGGTTTGCTTTACGTGGACGATGAGGACAACGTAAGGTAGCACTGTAATGAAGGTGTCTGAAGTTCAAAGCCCTGGGAGACGAACAGTGTGGACGCCTGGATGTGTGTGTGTTTCTGCCAGTGAGAGATCATCTCATGGCCAGGTTTTGTGCTGCGTTTCGACCTTGTTCTCACCACTGAGCTAGATCTGCCCTCTCTCAGAACACCTGGTCCTGGTCCCTGTTGCTGAGGACTTCATCAAATCTTCCAGAGCCAAGTTCGTGGGCCACCATCATGTCTGCACCCCAGCGGCAGATCAGCTGTGACAGTGTCCTCATCCCTGGACTTCAGAGACAGCTGGCTAAGCTCCATGCTTGATAAGCATCTGTCCAGGGTAAGGGTTTTACATGACTGAGGTTATATCACAGAATCTGGATTCCAAGAGCAATGAATTACATACATACAACTGTCTGCAAGTCCATCTGTTCAAGCTGCCATCCTGGGGGCCCCAAACCTAACTGCACACACGCGTACCCAGCACAGGATCATGGTCCTGACCTTGAAAATAAGCAGCAGGAGACAGCGGGAGAAATAAATCTCACCATGAAATACCTGATAGAAATCAAGGGAGCTGCTCATGCTCTTTGTACAGCTCTTTCTTTTTCAATTCCCTCAACAGCAAGAGGGCCACTGTTCAAACATCTCAAGTGCCCCACGCTGTTACTGCTAACAGGGCTGCTTCAGACTGCCGAGCTGCACGCTGACCTCCCCTCCAACTTGTGATTTTGTTTTTGAACTCCGAACTCGGGCCTGGTGCAGGGGGGTCAGCCACCTGAAACAACAGCATATGCCTAATCTAGAGTGATCTGTTCCTCCGGTGAAGAGCGCGTGCTGTGTTGTTTTTATTTTTAGAGGGAGTTAACAGTTAACGTGCACATTAGCATTTTCCTGTGCCCCTGAATGGGCCTGTGTGTTTCAGCTGGTTGCTCTGCTGCACTGCAGAGCCCTGCTTTCCACAGGGCACAGGAATCCCTAAATATTAATGAGGACCCTTAAAGACCTGGGAATCCGGCCGCTTCTTCACCACCACACACTCCATTCAACACAAGTTCCGAAGGTGTTTGATGGCCTGGGAAACCCAACCAGGAAAGACACAGCACCATTAAGGTTAGACATGCAGGGGTTTGAAACAAAAACAATGTCAAGGTTGCAGAAGGAACAGGTGACCTTGGGTATTTCACAGTTAGCATTTTAGAAAGATGTAGGAAGATGAGTGACTGTAACTCTGGTCCACAGCATCAGTTTTGGGAAATCTGGTAGAAACACAAATTAACAAGCTCTGCCCAGAATTTGCCGGTTCATTGGAATTCTGCGAGTGGGGCTGATGATCTGGTGATTCTCTTGGGCATGGTGGTTTGCAGACTGGTGGTATTGATGGACCTTCCCTGCAGAAGCACAGACATCCTTCAGGAGTTTTGGACTGGGCATCAGACAAGTCTCCAATTCCTTTCCTAGTTCTCCTGGAGTTCAGATTATTGATCTGTATTGGTTGAGGCTGTACAGAGCCACAGAATCATCTTCAAGATGGAGAGTCAGAGGTCCTAGGAGCTCCTCAGTCCATGCTGTTGAAATCCACAGAAGAGGTGGAATCAGGGACACAGAGTCAGTCCAAGGCCGAAGGCCTGGGAGTTCCCTGCAGTGTCACTGGAAGGGACTGGCATTGAAAGGTCAGAGAAGCTTCGCTCTGATGTCCCCAGGCAATGGCAGCAGCAAATGGTGCACCTGCTCCAACAGTGGAGCTTTGCAAGTACAGACTGACTTCTTCCTTCATCCTCTTGCATTCCAGATGAGCTGCAAGCCCATCATGAATGGTATCACCCAGAAGAATGGGTGATCTTTCCCCTTTACGTGCTGGCCTGCATGCCAGTCATCTCTCTGGGAGTAGCTCCAGATACATGCAGAAGTGTGCTTTACTAATCTGCTAGGCAACTCTGAATCCAGACAAATTGATAATCATGATTAATAGTCATGTGATCTTAAACATGTTTGAGACTGTATCTAGGTGTCACTTTTTTCATGTGTTAAAGGGTGGAAGTAATAAAATCTATTCCATGGAACTATTTTTACTGTAATGGGGTTAATAGCAAATAAGATGTGTAAAAATACTGACTTTTAAATGGTAAATGAACATTGATAAAAGGAACTTTGAGACCTTGAGAATTTTCACACAGTTAACACAGACAGCAGAATGCGATTGTGAAGGTTTTCTTTGTTGTCTTTCTGGCTCTAATGTGATGGCTGAAGTTGAGCACAGATTATCTCACCACAGTGCAGTATTATGTCCCATGAAGTGCAATGGCAAAAAGTACTCTAAATGGATAAAGAGGAGAAGCAAAGGAAGCTTGAAAGATGAGTTCGTCAAGAGCAAAAAGGGTACTTTCTGTTTTAAACAATGCTGTGTGCCCTTCATTCTCACCCATCGTGCATATCAGAAGGAAGCTGAGACCAGAGCAAATCTTTGTCTTTTTCATTGATTCCAGAGCTATAAAAAAACCCAGGCCTGAACTTGTGATTTGACTCTCCTGCCTCAGCCTTTCAGAACGCTGAGATTGCCAAACTCTGAGACAAGTAGGGCAGTTTTTACTTTTGCTCCTTCAATTCTATGTTTTCTTATGAAAATAACAATATAAATAGTTGACATGAATACCCCCTCAACCCCAGCCATCAGCAATGTGCGATATCTTTACCAGTTCCTCCATTCTTCCTTTTCCCCTAATTTTTTCATACAGTTGTGAACAGAGCACACGTATCATTGTGGCACCTGCTTTTTTTCATTACTCTCATAAAAACCAGTTTCACTTGTTGCTATGATGTCTCTGCCACGTTCATTTTAATAGCTACATAATATTTTATTCAGGGACTGCAACTTCAATTATTAAGCTGTTTTTCTGCTATGAATTTTTTTTCCAGTTGAAGTTCCATTCTGTGCTAAAATATTCATGTAAAAACATAGACACACATCGCACTTCCCTATGCCTTTTGGTACTTTAGCTAATATTTCATTTCCTCTTAGAACTTGCAAGACACACACACAACAGTTTAAATAGGATGCTCGCTGTTATTGTAAGACGTTCCACAAACTTTCCAAATTCTAGGTTCTATTTATATCCAGCCAGTCAAAGGCACCAACACTCAACTCCCTTTTATGGAGTTTTGCATATTTTGGCTGTTTTCCTTGCCTACCCCTCCTTCTTCCTTCTTCTTCTCTGGTCTTCTCTCCTTTAATCCGGGCACTCTGACAGACCTGCTTACGCACATGCACGCACACGCACACACACGCATGCACGCACACGCACACGCACCCACGCACGCACGCACGCACCAGCCGGCCTCTTCCTTCCATTTTCCTCGCCCTGCGGGGAGCTAGGTCTCCAGGTGCCTCTCTCTCTCCCACTCTGCCCTTTTCCTCTCCTTGCTGTAATAATTGTGTGTCTCTCGTCTCTCTCTGTTCCACTCTAACATTTTATCCCATCGCCCCAATTAAGAATTCTCTTCTGCCTTTGTGATGTGTGGGAATCTTGGCGTCCTGGTAGCGCAGAGCTCGCCAGAGGTGCCCTGAACAAGAGCGCCCCGAAGCACCCCATGCCTGCGGCCCCGTTTTCCATGGGGTCGGTTTACTCCCAGCGACCTTCCCTGAACGCAACAGCCTCATGCCTAGCTTCGTCTAATTTTACCATCTGTAAGATTCTCTTTTCAAGATCTTATTATTCTTTTATTGGATTGTGTGTCTTTTACAGAACGCCTTACTTTAGCACTTGGAAGGAATGGGAAGCCGATCAAAGAGTATTCTGTGGGGCAGAAGGCGCCCAGATTTGACCATAAAAGCGCAGTGGGCGTCCTCCTGTGCAGCACACCAGCCAAAGCTGATTTCTGCAGCCCCTTGGAGCCAAAGGGCACAGTGACTGTTCCTCAGCACCCCAGGGTCGTAGCAACTACTACTGGTGATGATTGGGTCTGGGGGCTCTTAGGCAAGGCAGGAGTTGCATGTCATCATGGAAAGCACAGGGAGCTATGGGTCCCTCAACAAGGGAGACAGGGCCCTCCTCTGCTGGCTTTGTGGCGATGCAGGCCCAGACTGGGCTGGCTGCTCCCTGACCTCAGCCTCTTCCCGAGCGCACAGGGGTGATTCGGGGCCTGCTTCCAGGAGCTGAGTGTGCCTCTGGGTCTTGGCCCACAAAAGCTGACTGTGACTCCCTGGGCCCTTTCCCCTTCTCCAGCTTCACACAGCTGGCCGGCAGGATCCTGGAGCCACAGTGTGGAGGGAAACTGGTGCCCACTGCACGCAGTTGGGGGGAGAATGTAGGAGAACAAGAAGCACGATTTCTGTTTCCATCGTCTCAGAGAACTAGGGATGCAACCCGGGGCTTCACACTGAGCTACCTCCCCAACTTTTTTGTTT